CAGGGTGCTGGAAAGAGCACCAGCGGGATCCTGGCCATGCTGGACGAGGAGTGCCTGCGGCCTGGCGTGGTCAATGAGGACACCTTCCTCACCAAACTCAACCAGCTCTTGGCCACACACAAACACTACGAGAGCAAGGAGACGCAGAACGCCCGGCACGTCACCGACACCAGCCTGCCACCGCGCTGCTTCCGCATCCACCACTACGCCGGCAAGGTCTGGCAGCACCTGCTCCTTTTTCCAGGACCCTGAACCTCTTTCCAGAATCCTGATCCTCTTCTCAGAACCCTGAACCTCTTTCCAGGACCCTGAACCTCTTCCCAGTATCCTGGTCATCTTCCCAGTGCCCCACTCCACTTCCCAGAACCCTGGTCCCCTTCCCAGCACTCCAATCCTTTTCACAGCACCCTGGTTCTCTTTCCAGCACCCTGCTCCTCCTCCCAGTGTCCCAGTTCTTCTTCCAGCACCCCAATTCTCTTCCCAGTGCCCCAGTCTTTTTCCCAGCGCTCTGGTTCTTTTCCAATCACTCCAGATCTCTTTTCAGCACCCCGGTCTCCTTCCCCACACCCCAAGCTTCTTCCCTGCATCTCAGACCTCCTCCTAATTCTCTGGACCTCTTCATAGCATCCTGGTCCTCTTCCCAGCACCCCAGACCTTTTCCCAGTGCCCCAATCCTCTTCCCAGCATCCTAGTCCTTCTCTCAGCACCCCAGTTCTCTTCCCAGTGCCCTGCCCAGCTTCACACAGGAGATGTGGGGCAGGACTGGGAGCAGGCACGGAGATGCTGAGCTGTTCCCCACTCCCAGCACTGACCCCACTGCCCTCTCAGGTGACCTACAACGTGACGGGCTTCATCGAGAAGAACAACGACCTGCTCTTCCGCGACCTCTCGCAGGCCATGTGGGCGGCCCGGCACGCGCTGCTGCGCTCGCTCTTCCCCGAGGGAGACCCCCAGAAAGTCTCCCTCAAGCTGCCGCCCACCGCAGGATTCCAGTTCAAGTCGTCCGTGGCGATGCTGATGAGGAACCTCTACTCCAAGAACCCAAATTACATCAGGTACCAGCCCCGGCAGAGACCCCCAGGGGTGGCTTTGGCACCTGTGAGACCCTCCCCAAACCACCGCTGTGCTCTGCAGGTGCATCAAACCCAACGACACCAAGTCAGCGATGGTGTTCACGCCGGAGCTGGTGCTGGCACAGGTCCGGTACCTGGGGCTGATGGAGAACGTGCGGGTGAGGCGGGCGGGCTACGCCTTCCGCCAGCTCTACGGCCCCTTCCTGCAGCGCTACAAGATGCTCAACCCCCGCACGTGGCCCCGCTGGGACGGTGGGGACAGGTACGGGGTGGGCACGGACCGTGAGGGCCTGGGGGCTGCCGGGGGGGCTCTGACCGGCCTCGTCTCTGCCGCGGTGCAGGGAGGGGGTCGAGGTGCTGCTGGCAGGTCTGGCGTTCCCCGCCGAGGAGCTGGCGTTCGGCCACACCAAGGTCTTCATCCGCTCGCCACGCACTGTGAGTCTGGGAACGGGGGAGTCCAGGGGGTCCAAACTCGTCCTGGGAGGTCCTGGGTGATGCCACAG